ATTGCATATTAATTTTTAATAATGTCTCTATCCTGTGTCTTATTAATTGCAACTTAAAAGCATTCACACATAAGCTGCATTACAAATTTAATTCTCCAACTGTGTGTATTATACAAACCAAATATTTTCTCTGGAAGAAGAAGAAAAAAAAGGTAAATAGGGTACAAGTGCATATTACTTTCTTAATCTAAGTTTCAAATAATTGTAAGGTTTTCTGGAGGCTAATTTATTTCACTATGACATTTGTTAACACACAAGTGAAATAAGAATATCAATAACTGGATTCCACTCACTGGAGAAATTGATTTCTGCACTAATGGTGGGACACTTCTGGTTCTGGTATATTTATACCTACCTAACATAACATAGTATTGTTTACAGTAATAAGTCAAAACACATCATACACAATTTGTAAGTAAATTTTATTGTATATTGCACAATAAATTGACTAGTAGGAATCACACTATGGAGTAAATAATTTCATTTATAGAAATCAAACAAATTCATTCATTAATATGTTAATATCAAAATTTGGAATGAGTAACATTATGAAAATTTACTTCTTAATAATCTGTGTATCATTGTTTCATCAAACTTTCAAATATCTAATATGGTACATTTCAAACTTGTTTTTTCTTTAAATCACACACTTAGCTGAAAATATATGTTAATTAGAGCATGTTTAAAATGGACTATGTTTATAATAGTTTAAAGAACTTTGCTTTCAACAGTTGTGAACATGACATTTAAAATAAAGTACTCTTATAGAAAAGTAGTACCTTTGAATCTATTGGAAACCATTTCTATGATTTTCAGCTACGTTTTTCAGTCACCCATTTGAAATCAAATGCGGTGTCCTTGGATGGACTTCCATTTTTTATCAAAGTAATCATCATTTTTTGCAGCAGTGAAGTAAATCAAAATAAAGGTTTCAAATCTAGTCTCATTTTATTATTGATACTTAGTGTGAATCCATTTTCTTCAGTGTTTAGATCATAATACTTTCAATAACACATCTTTATAATTATTTGTTGGCAGTTATGATGAAAGCAGCAGTACAGGATAAATTTGCCATATGTTAATAAAGCCTTAAAGTATGACACAATGTAATTAACAATTGTGTTCTGACATTTGTGCAAGAAAAGTAAACACGAAACATGGTATTCTGTGTCACATACAACAACAAAATTTGGTCTCTCATATGGAAACGAACCACTTTTGAATTAATCATACATATGTATATCTCTAAACAAGTCAAATTCTTTACAAAGGAGTGAAAATAGCATTTGATATCAGACAAGAATTCTTGAAAGATGTTTTATCGTATTTTATACTATCATCAAATTTATCTTCCTAATATCCTGTATTACGAGATGTTGTTTTCCAACATACATTTCATAACAAGAAAATTAACTTTCAGTGCTTTAAGAATTCAAATTAATCTGGCTTTTTTCCATATGATTCACCCTTACACTGTATACGAACAAAAACAGCAATCTATGTCTAACATTAATAAAATTTTTAAAATAACAATGAAACATCCACAATTCTTATTGCTAAGCATTATATATTGTACACCTCTATAACTGTAAATATAAGTATGTATACAAAACAATTTGTCGCAGGAAAAGTTAACATTTTTGTATGAGTTTAGTGAGAATATCTGCAAATAAAGATCATTAAATATTTTACAATGTTTCACATATACCAGTCTATAAATTGATTACTAGAGATGCGGAAAAAAAGTATTCATTAAAAAGAATGTGTTTGGCAATGATTATGATAGCATAGATTTCTATAAGACCATTCAATAAATATAGAAGTAAATATGCTGCTTTTGAATATTACCAAACAATTACTTACTGATTCAAATTATATAATTTATCTGGCCATAAAGGGCTTTCAACATCAAATATGAAGAAAATATCTTCTTGGGAACTATGGTCTTGGAGGGTTTGTTGGTTCTAGCATCAAAAGCAGCATTCATGTTGAGCCATATCATTAAAATATGCTGGAAATATAACATTGCTAGTTAAACCCTAGCAACTTATTCCAACATTAGGATGTTCAACTTGTGTTCTTCTCATTGAAGAATTGATTGTAATCTTAGAATAATATTTATGATGTACAAATAATGACAATATTTTTACTTTAAATGCATTGTATAACAGTGTGACAATAGCTCAAGACAAAGAAAAATATTAAAGCATGTAATACATATGCTAAAACACCAAGGAGTCTTAGAGTAACTATGAAATATGAAGATTTTCAATGTAACACTAACTTACTTATTCCTGTTTTTAGATCATTGTATGATCTTACGGATTAAATTTATATTTCATAATATTCATTTCAATAAATTAATTCACAATTGGGCAGATTACTTGAAAACTGCTAAGTAAATGGATTTATTATATCATATATATTATCTGCACTAGTGAGTTTGATTTAATATATTGGTCTGAAAAACCATTGAAGATAAAACAAAAATTTAATTCTGGAGTGAGAACTCTTATTGTTCCCAATCCAGAGTCTAGTTTTTAAATGTGAGGGTGACATGATTGGTACCTATTAATAGATGTTAAAAAGTGAATATTTATCTGTCTCTCTCTCTCCCTCAAACAGATATACGCATTCTAAAATGGATATCTGAAGGAAAGTATTTGGGTATATGAAGATTGACATGTCAATATGACAGGCCAGTATATTGAGTGAAAAAAACTGAACATAAATACTTCAAAGAATTCATCACACTATTGAAGAGAATGTAGCAATTGCTTACTATTCAATTTATGGTTGTGTTTTCAAAAACTCAAATCATATAATGCCATGCACCTGTCAGCATATTCAAATACTATTCATAATGTTTTGCCCATTATCAAACACTATTTAAATGACAAGTATATATTAAAAATGAAACCCATAAGATGAACTTCATACTTCAATTGAAAATTGAATAAGACATTACATTAAAATATAATAAAATAATTACTGCATAACCACCAATCTTCAATTTGGTGTGTGACAAATCTTAAAATGGTATTTAGTAAAGTTAAATTAAAATATTTTCAAATTCTATTTCCATACAAGCTTTAAGTAAATATCTCTATTATCATAATTTCTGCCAGATTTGTTCCCACACCAATAATTCACTTGCAACTCCTTTATGCCAGAGCTAATATCATTCTATGAATCAGTTATTTACTCTCATCTCTCAATAAAATAAATACCTACTCTTCCTACAAACTTTACATGGATGGATTCCATGGAATCTATGGTGGGTTTAATATACTATTAAACTGGTCAAATTATACATATTTATGAAGGACTCTTAGTTTTCATAATACACTTATTTCAGAGACAAAATGTATTTCAGACATTAAAATTACTTGGAATTATCACTGTAAATATGAATATTTTTATATCACAGAAGCAACTGACAACCACCTCCAGATGTTTAGGTTCATTCTTGGTATAAACCTGAATAAATGACATTGCATGCACAGTGACATGATCTTGAGCGACATATCATTATAAGAATGAATTTCTTGATAGATAAGTATAATTATAAATTGCTTAATTTTCTATAGTTTAGCACAATGTTGAGCCAGTTTTAATTCATAAAAGGGTAATAGATGACTGCAACTATAGCTGATGGTAAAGACAGCGGAGAGTTTAGTTATTTAAATTAACATGTGCGATTTCTCAAATAATTATTTCTTGTAGTTATTGCATCTTCATGTGCAAAGTCAATTGATAGCACTGGTAAGAAATAATTTTGATTAAATTTTAATAAGGTAACTTATTTTATCCACAAATGCTTCTCAGGTGACTTTGTGAAAAAAGATACGTAGTACGTCTTTAAAATATTTTTTCTGTGGGGAATTAATATAATTCTCCTTCAAGGAGATCAAAATCCATTGGTCCCTTTACATTGTTAAAAGAAAGAGCATTTGAAATTATATGTAATTAGAAATTATAATTATTTATCATTATTCATACTTTAATTGTTTATGAAAACTACAAATTACTATATTAGATAATGAGACATAACTATGTACTATGATTCAAGCAAGAGATCATAACAACTACATTTGTAAAATTTAAAATATAATTTTTTATTTTGATGGGACTTTTCATCATATTTTGTTTTATTATAAAATATGGAGATACTTTCAATTCTGAATTTTTTCTCGTATCTTCATTACTTTGTGAAATAGCATTTACTTTTTGAAATATTTAATGGATCTGTTTTAGAAATTAATAACCATTTTTAATCTCTGTAAATTAAATGATGTTCAAGTGAAAAGAAGGTGTAATACAATGAATTAATCTCATAGTCTTGGGAATGCTAACTGTTAAGTTCTTTTCAAGAAGTAGATTGTTGAAGTCTTTACCAACATATTTATACAATCATAGATGAGAATCTTTTATGTCAGTGTAAACTGGCATTGTTGATGAGGCATTTCTTGAGTGTGAAACAGGATAACTTGTTTATACGACTTATCACCAATTTCAATGAGTCAATTCGTAAGAGTTTAATTCATTGCTTTTAACTTTTGCATACATACATGAATCCATTTGTCTCACATGCAGTTGCTTATAAATACATTTTCTCAAAAACTATTTCATTTGTACACTCATACCATTTTGTTGCTACTTCTTGTATTCATTCTTCCACATGTACATCCACACAATAATAACAGAATCAATAAAAGAAACTGAATGGAGAAATTATTTTTTCCAATACACAAATCTTACAAATTTTAAAGAAACATTTCAGAACACAAGGAGATGTTAACATATTTTGTAAGTATAAATGTACATTGCAATTTGCAAAGGCAAAATGTCAAGGACCAAGAGCCTCTCTTTAAGTACATCAGGTGACACTTGCACAATAACGGCAGTGAACATCTAGGAAACTCTTTCTAAAAAAAAATAACTTTGTGAAAAAAATACATACATTTTATCACACTTTATAGATATTTTGCATTGAAATAAAAATGAACTTGGAATTTACTAGGAATTAAGCAATTCATTCTTACTAAATACAGATTTCTTAAAAAGTGTCAATTAAATCATGTAAAATTCTTTTCCTAATTTGGTTATCATCTGTAATTTGAAATTCACTGTTCAAATCGTATTCAAATATTTTGACATATTCATGAAAATACATTTTCTTTCAATAAAATTGAAATTCAGCATATTTAGTTGTTAGATGTATGCAAAACAAATATTTAAATGCATGATGTACGCTTACTTTGCTTTTATTATTAATTTCTCCTTCATGTTTGGTGATAAGAGCAAGTCAGTAAATGTAAAAGAATCTAAAATTCGAGGCTCTACATTCCTCAACACTATCTACATGTTTTTTACAATTAAAGAGAAAATGAAGATTAGAGTTAATTTACTAATTTTGTTTCATGGCAAAAATAAATTACGTAATATTTTTCATATGTATTTATGTTAACTCTGCAAGTTCATCATATTTTAATCAGCAATATTTTGGATATGCTGACTTACCATCTATTGAGAAAAATAATTTTCAAACGATAGTATAATTTTATAAATACAAAATGTTTGAAATATCATATTTTTAATTGGAAACAATAATAAGTGAATCTGCTAAAACTTTGGAATATCATGTCACAGCTTCAGAACATCAAACAATATAATGAGACTGAGACAACATATAGATGACATGTCAATAGTCACAACATGAAAGTAACAATGAAGATGATAGAGAGTTACACTCTACCATGATTTCAGAATCATCAAACATCTTCAAATTGAATTCAAATGAAAACTTCCCAAATTTTCTTCAATAGAAGATAAGGAAATAGATTACATTACCACCCATTTATTCTCAAGAGTCATTAAGGTAGTAATATCCATTGCACCAATAAGACCCTCAATACTGGTGCTTCTGATAATGAAGTGCAGGTGTTTTTATTAAATATATTCTACCTATTATGTAGTTGCACATGTCCTTTATATAGATTCTCCATTGACGAGAATATGATATCAGATGAGAAAAATATCTGATATACCTGTGGTTGAAAGTATATAACAAGTGCTAATCATGAGACAGTAATATAAGACAGCAATTGTTATAGTGTCACATTTTGCGTTTGCGACCGACATATCAGTACACGTTTGATGTTCTGGAGGTGCCCTGCAATTCGGAATGTTTATTTCTGAGACACATTTACACAAATGTATTATAACATTTTAAACATGACAATGAAGAGCAAATGTGAAGATAAACACAGACACATCAAGTGTAATACTGATCAACACCAACCTTAACCTGAGCACATACACCATTATCATCACACAGGTTTATACAGAAACAGACTTATAGCTTTTTATCAATTGAAATAAATATGATTTAAGTGACATTTCTCTCCCTAAGTATGTATATCTGGAGTGTTAGAACCAAGCAACTGTATTCACGACCAGCCTTTGTGTGTATTCACTGCAAATTTATATGTTCATTTAAATATTTTTAATAAAGAGTTGGACACTACATGATCACATGTGTTATATCACAAAAGTTTTAAAAATAAACATTTTTATTAAGCTAAATTTCCATAGTACATCCTAGCTACATGATGAAAAGGTGGATCGAGATAGGATCAAAGAATCTGAGTGGCCACAAAATACTTTGTTTGACACTATTGACGAAATATACAAGCTGGCAAAAATATCACAAATATATTGGTTCATCTCAAAATTTGTAAGTTAGGATTAAAATAACAAATGATAAATTAAGCCTTTCTCATGTTTATGATACATCATTTGAGCATGTAGAAAGCAAGTGCCATCCAAGGAACTTTATAGTATTAAATATTTCTTTTGGAGAAACGTGTCTCAACTTATATAATGAAACAAGCAATATAACATCTAATGGATCATTTTTCTTTGAAATGTAGAGAATGTGATAAAGAATTTATTTTTGTTTCTATCTAGACTATGCCACTGGATTTAGCCAATCAGAGGCACTTTTGTGTCAGTCTATTTAACTCCTTGGATTTATACATTGATTTGTTGATCATTTCTTTGCACTGGCTGAATTTTTTGACAGTCATCACATAACTGAACAATTTACTCTTAATGTTTCCAAGGTAAATAATTTTGTTTACTTTGAGAAATGTTGAAAATAGCCATGCATAAGAAATGGAATAAAATTGGTTGCCAATGATATGACACTTCAAGGACATCCGCATTCATCAACAACCATTTTAGGCAAGTCTCGTTTTATAATATTACTATCAGGACTAAAATAGATAAGAGACATTGATGAGAATTTCAATGGTGCACAGCAGGGTTGCATGCCAGACAATGGGTCTACTTTACGAATTTCCTCCATAACATGGGTGTGATAATTTTGATAAGTGTCAGGCGTTCTGTGAACTCCTCCACAATCACCTTGGCAGTAATTAGCATAATATCCTCGGGGTGCAATAATCCAGTCATCCCAGCCTAGGTGTGTGAAGTTGACATAAAATTTTTGTTTGCAACATTGACCAACAGTGTCTCCAACACAATCCAATGCTCTGCGACGCACTCGTTTTGTAGCTATGGAATCAGTATGTACAACTAAAAAGGGTCTTTGTGAATCTCTATTTGCTTTTGGGTTGTCAAAATTAAATCCTCCTTCTGACTCAAAAGAATTAACCTGATTTATTTGTTGGTCTCTTGGTTGACCTGCTCTTGATGAAGATATTGGTGTTTTACCAAAAAGGATAGCTTCAACTTTGTCACTGCATCCAGAACAATCAACAAGGAGACGTAATCGTTCTCGAGCAGCAGCCCCAGAAGCATACCATTCTCGCACAGTTGACGTGAGATCAAATTTCTGCCAACCCAAAGCAGAAAAAGCAACAGGAAGGGAAGCTGCCATTTCTGTGTAGTCATCAAACTCCTGCTGGGAAATATGCAATAGTAATGAATGATAGAGACAATAAGAAATTGCAGACATTAGAAGTTTCCAAAACAATACTTTATAACTTTTAATATGCAAACCACTTTCCAGTAGTATATATAAAATAAGTGAAAAACATTACAAAATGAGTCTTTTGTTTTGATGTCTAATTTTGATTTTTAAGATGTAGGTATGATTTAAACACAATAACTAAGTCTAATGACAACAAATTATTTCAGTTACATCTTATTCTTTATTCAATAAGTCTATCACTCACAATGCCTTGTCTTTCACTTGCCTTTAAAATATGCAAAAATATGATGTAGAATAATAACAAGCATGCAATGCTACAGTAATCAACTATAATACCACTTCTTATTTCAAAAAAAATACTCTCTAAAGAGGGGCCAATATTTAGAATAATCTGAAGAGGACATTTTCTCTCAGAGTTAACATGATTTGATTTTCATTCTAGAAAAAAGGAATAATTTTTCAGGTTGAAAACATCTATATGAATGAAGTGCCACAAAATAAAATTTACAAGCTACTAACACAAAATAAGAAACATCACGTTCAACAACATGGCATTGAGTAAAAGTTTAAATGAGAAAACAGATTTATACTGATTCTATAAAACACACTTATAAATGCTGGGGTGAGGTAGCCACAGAGGCACATTTGTAAATTGTCCAGTAGAGAAACATGAACTGTACATTCCAAGTGTGCAATTTGCTATACGTAATAAGACATAAAAAAATTGTATACTGTTTTGCATTTATATTCAAATATGTGTAGCCTTTATATTATGTACAGCAAGTTTCACAGTTCAGTAGTAACAGGCTCTCTCCTCAAAACAGAACAAGAGCTTTCCAACACCAGAGTATTCCTAGGATGTTCTTTATAATTTAATTGCAATTTCTCGCATTTTTTTTTATTAGATGCATTAACATCGAATTATTTATAATTTGAAGTTCATATGCATATGTTTATAATTAGAATTCTGAAAACTATTGGTTTAATATTATTGTTTAAAATAAATTGTTAATTTTTTTTTATTAAAATGCTAGCTGATTGTTTATGATGTGTTTACAACAAACGTGAACAATAGATCTTTGAAAAAACCCCCAACAAGGGTTGAAACGTCAAAAGGGACAGAAAATCGTTAAAAATATTATAGAGCCTGTTTTTATTAAGGTCAGAAAACCATTACAATTTTGCTTAAAATGTGTAGAGTAGGGTGACAATTTTTAATTTCTTTCCTTTGAAATCTCACGACTAGGGGACCTTTCAAGCAGGCGTAGCTTGTAAGCGCCCCTTGAAACGCTCGGGAGTGACTCACTTTCTCCGCCAGATGTCGGCCTCAGTTAATACTAGTATCCGAATTGTCTGGACGGTAGAACGCAAGATCTTGTATTTTCGATTCAACAGTGGGTTTAATTCGGCAGGAAACGCCCAACTTGTATTAGAGTATTTTTATGCATTTCACTTTCTCTTTACTACGTTCTTATGTAGTAAACAGAAAGTATGTAATGTTGCCGCGGAGAGTGACAATTTTTTGTTACAAAAACTCGAGATGTGAGGCACTGATATCGATAAAGTGTATAAATCTTATTCCTACAAGTAGCAAATTACATCATCTAACACGTTATGTAGTTAGAATCCTCGTTTTGTTAGTACTTAATACCAAACAATTGCTTTGCGGCAAAACATTTGTTTGCATCTCTGCCTTTCCGTCTGTCTAGTCTGTGTCTGTTTTCTGTCTGTTTAGTCCTGAGGTGTCCAACTTGCAAGGCCTCGAGGGCCACAACTAAAACCTTTTATACGGTTGCGGGTCATATTTTCATAACACGTGCGATCCACACGTGACCCCATATTGTTGATCTCGGCAGTTTGCCCGGCTGCTCTAAAACGGAGGGGAGAGGAGGGGTTATTAATGATATCAGACTCTACCACGCATAAAGGAGATTGAGGATAAAGGATATATTGAGATGATTTTGAATTTCTGAATTTAATACAAAAGAATCTTAAATATAAACTTAACCCCTTTTTACATTAACGGAGTGTTGAACCGACAGGATCCGTGCACTACACGCACAATATTCTCGCTTGACATGGATGCAAGGGACTTTCACAGTTGTCTAATAATCTTTCGCGGTCCACGATAAATTGAACGCGGGACGCCAGTTAGACAACTCTGGTATAGCCTGAGTCTGTTTTCTGTCTTTCTACTCAGACTGTCAGTCAGTCACCAGTTAGTCAGTCCAGTCAGTCAGTCCAGTCAGCAAGTCAGTCCAATCAGTAAGTCAGTCCAATCAGTCAGTCAGTAAGTCAGTCCAATCAGTCAGTCCAGTCACTCAGTCAATTCGTTTACCTGCTGTCAACGCTAGCCACTAAACCGTTGAAACGATATTTTTCCAAAATTGATATTTGCTGTATTCAGCACAACTCAAGGCCCTACGAATTTGAAGCTGATCTGCCTCATCAGTTAAAAAATACGATTTTGTCTAAAAAGAAAATCGAATGCTTTTCGCAATTCGAAGAGTACGGTTTGATCTAGAAATGTGTTCTTTTGTAGTTTTGAAGAAAGTGTTTGTGTCTTTAATTTTTGTCCTTTCAACTTGTACGTACAAATTGAAAGATATGTAGGAATATCGGGGACATATTTACTTGCAGCTCAATATTGAACTCTACGAAACGAGAAACTGCTACTTTTGTGTATGTATTTGTTGATTGATCTCAACATGGCGTGGACCAATAAATCAACGTTACATGCACTCCCATGTTGAATATTAGTATATTAAGTTATTGTAAACAACATTAAAAAACAATTATTTGCTACAGACTAAGCTACACTATACTACTGCACACCAAGCTACTATTTTATAGGATTAATAAATTTAAAAAAACTACCAAATTAAGTATCAATAATCATGGAGTTTCAAAACTCGTTAAGTGCATACCTTGTCACTAACATATTGTTGTTCAAGGGGCGGCAGCTTTACTTTGAATAAAAATAAAGTTAGGTTGCGATCCCTAAATTTAAGGCGATCTGGGTGAGTGACTGATGGACGAAAGTCAACCCGCACCCAGAAAGTAGCTGCCTTCACTCTCAGTTCAGAACCGCTAGCATCTCCTTCCAAATCTTGGAAATGGGAGAATTCCAGGAGTGTTTGGCCGTTTAGCGATTTTCCTGTAACAAAAGACACATTCATGTTAGTTTACTTCAAACAAAACAGATTCGACAATACATTCCGATATAACAGCTTTAATGTCACATTTACTACATTTGTTACGTTAATAAATCATTTCACGAAATAAAAGTGGCATACTAACAATTCAATAGGAAAAAATGTTTTTTGTATTCCAGCATTATAAAATAAAATTTTCTGTTGCAAGAAATCGTTCATAATCGGGCATTTTACGGCACAAATGATGACGTATTAGATTTTATGTCACGAATGATTGCGTCATCACACATTCAGCCAATCGTTGCGTGAGAATCGGGGGGAGGTAGAGCTAAACGAAACAGCCAACCAGCATTTACTCGCACGATGTCAAATACCCGAGTCGTCACAGGGTGTTTCGCAAAATTAAGTTTGATTCTCTTATAAATGTATAGTGCTATTATACAAAAAAAATGTAGTATGCAACTCGTTTATAATATTGCTTTATTACATTCGCACAGATTTGAAAACTCGCTCCTAAAGTCGCTCGTTTTCAAAACATGTACTCATTCAATAAAGCTTAACATTATAAACTAATTGCATAAACTACTATTAAAGAATATATATTACTAATTTCCATTGCGCGCAGAAATTGGAAAAAAGCCTCCGGCCATATAGGGGTGTCTGTGGTAAAGAACTGTCCAACTGTCAGTGGTAAAGAACAATAAGAAGGTAAAGGAAACAATAAGTGGTAAAGAACATTTCAGTATATGTGAAGACTGTGTTAAAATATTTAATTCATTGACTTGTTATACGAGAGTATTTAATTTGCTGTTCTTAACCAATGTGCATGCTCCTTTTTGAAACACCATTTTATGAGGACTTATACTTCATTTTTACTGAAAATAAAAATTGCAAATTTTCAAATAGAATGAAATATGCTGTAAATCGACATTCATTACCCGAGTACTATTTATTCTTCACAATAATCTAATAGAGAAAAAGGAATTAATTCATTTAGAGTGTGTCTTCGCCCTATCCTGCCTTCCACGTCCTCACCCACATTGACCTGCCCTGCTCCCGACGTTCTCCGTCCCGCCCGACATCACCCTGTCCCCTCTCCATCTACACCCTTGTGCCACTTCACCCTGTCCCATCGCACCTCGTTCTGCGTCACCTGCCCGTCCAGCTCCAGCGTGCCATGTTTGCTACGGTTAAAATTGCTTCTACCGTCGTTGCTGTGGGCAGCTACAAACATATGTATTGTTGCATAATCCCGACAAACTTCCAATACTAATTTTACTCTTCAATTACTCAAAAGCTAATTGTGCTATCAAAATGAATCAACCTTTATTTTATAGGGAATTTTGTAGACTTTAAGAATGTTTCTGTTCACTTTGGTCAATTTACTCGCCCTTTTCGAAAAATTTGCCAAACACTCAAAGAGCGCAAACCAATATTTTGCTTTAGGGGATAGAAAATGGATTAATTAATTAATGTTTTCGAGCACAAATGCTGGTCGTTAGTCCTGTTAGTGTAGTCAATGTTGCGGGTGGCGTGGTGATTCTTTCCTCGCTGAATGGTGGACTTACACGTCGATGGATGGGCTGGATGGGCTTCTTCTGGGGGATAAGTGTTTAGGAATAATTTTTTACGACATATTATTACATAATATTTCCTCTTACATGAAGATCGTTATAAAACTAGATTTGTATACTTTTTTACATAAAAACAATTTGAACAAAAACTAGCAAAAGTCATGCCCGACACACACACACACAAAAAACTCGCACACACAACCTTTCTGTAAAAACCTCATTGAAATCCGTTGAGCCATTACAAAGATTACCCGGACAGACAGACAAAAATTATAGAAAGCAATTGAAATGGTTTTCATACCTACATTAACACATAGATTATATAAAAAGTCATTTTGATACCACAGACAAACAATACCATTGTATTTGTACAGATTAATTTTGAAGTTTTATAATTTTTTATTTTGGATTCCTTACCGTAAAAATTTGACGATTTCTTTGCATTTCGTGTGAACAAAAGAATGTTGTTAGTAACTTGAATTGTTCGATGTACATTGTTTCATTGTATATTACGACGCAAGTCTTAATTTGTTTCCCGCATTGCAAGCTAGTAAATTATTATGACAGGAAATGACTACACAATCAGGCTTCTAGGATGGCGCACGAGTAGCGTACTAGCTTCCTATTGCGTGGTCTCGGGTTCGATTGTCGGTCGAGCCAGAAATCGAGTTGTAGCTTTCCTTTAAAATCGTTTCTGTAGCTTGGTGAAGGAAAAATCGCGTAGGCGGAGTTAGCTAGTTGCAGTGAAGGGAATGCGTCATGTTGATCACATGTCTCTCTTACCTTCAAGTGCGGGAATTAAACTGCGCCCAAGCATGGGACACACCGTTAGCTATTTTGAAGTTACATTTGTGTCTAGGATCAAAACAAGGGGGCATCTCAGTATTTGCTCAAGGATCAGGAAAACTGGACGAAAATCTGATCGAGATGGAGGTCATTGACCCAGAAGATGAAGTACAATACTCGTTACAGGATCTTTTAAGAGTTATACAGTCCAAATAGTAAATAATACATTAAATGTCATTGTTAAAATAAATATTTTTACTGTTTCACTTAAAATATGTGAATCAAACCTAAAAAAGTAAAGAAATGAATTAAAAACGTGAAAATGAGTAAGTTACTACAAAACAATTTTAATACAATACTTTTTATATTTTTAAGTATTAACACATTCATATTTCATAAAAAAGAAACGAAATTGCATACGAACCATGGGAAATAATTGAAAGAACTGGTACTCCATTAACGTGAAGAATATTTATAAATGACGTGAAAAGACAAAGAAATATTTTGTACGTTTTTAATGACGAACCAGCCATGCAAATTTTTCTAATTTTGGTAACGTAACATACAATATGACGTAATGGACGTAACGATTAGGCTATTTTAAGCCGAAGGAGTTGAAGAAAAAGGTGACAGCGCTAAGTATTCTAGTAAGCGATCCCGAACGCGCGACTCGCTAGTTCTTCTTGCTCGTGTTGCTTCGTTGAACACATTCGACAGGACCATCAGTCCATCACTCCACATCTCTCGCATTAATAACGGTGAAAGTAGACAGCTCAAGATCGAGGCTATCATTAACTTCGTAGAGGCGGTGCACCTTAAAAGTCCGGAGAATATCGCCTGTAGAAATTTAATGAGAAGATATACGGCCATCGCCATAATAAGAGCTATCAACCGTATTTAAAATGTCAACTCGCTCGTGAGGGATCAAACAATTCACGATAATTTATTTCCAACGTGAAAGGATTTGTGCAATGGCGGTATTTACATAAATAAAATAATAAATGTCCCGCTCACACGACTGAACATTGAGGAGGTGTAGTTTTAGAGCTATTCAATTCTAGTTCTACATTCCTTTCTGGAAGAATTTCTTCATTAGCATGGAGGTAAAATTAATCTGAGTATATATTGAACAAGCACAATATTTTAATGAGATTGCTTTATTATTTTTATATTATAAAGGAATGCATTTATTGTAATGGCATTGACTATTCTACCGATTCCACTAACCCAATATAGGTAATGAATTATCAAACTATTATTAATTATGTTATACGTTGAAAAGTTCAATAAACTTTGAGACAATAACTAAACAGGTTTTCCTACGACGTGTTTTCAAGTAATTAATGTGCATAACTTATTATTATTATTATTATTATTATTATTATTATTATGATTATTATTATTATGGTAATTATAATGATGATGTTTCGCGAATAGGTCATCATGGGGTGACGCGATACGTGCAGCCCATCGGGGCTCAGTCATGATTATCGGAGTAGGTGCACGTTACTTTACTATTTAGGGATCAGCATTTTAATGCTGATTCAAATCTTACACCCTCTAGAGTGTTAGCCTTGGGGATAAGGTGATATGATGTTGTTGATGATGGAATGATGAAATAGGCACACACACACAAACATGCAGAGCCGGTATTGAGCGGGATGATAAGAGACTTACACCTCTACGGCTTCTCAAGCGATAGTGGAGATAGTAAGATCCAGCGGAGATAGTAAGATCTGTGGCTCATTGTATAAGGTACACCAGCATTCTCCTGGAAGGGATTACGGACATTTCTGATCAGTGCAGTCATTCTACGATCTCGATCCTGACAAGGCGTGTCTGCGGTGTTCCCATCATTGGTGCACTCAAGCGTCAGGACTTATTAAGAAATTCAGTGATATATTAGTGTCTTGTCTGGGGACCTCAGAAACCTATGTTCACGAGTTCGATCCTGGTAGAAGACAGTTGATTTTCCGGAAATGGAAATCCAGGGGGAATGAAAGGTGATTAGACACGTTAAACATTTCCTGAGCGTTACTTAAACGCTCTCTGCAAAATTAAATCCTCCAGATGCTCAGCACCATTGAGAACTAGAACTGGCACGCGGATAGCAGTAGTCAAGGTATCAGGGACAATTTTATTTATTTTATTGTATTTTACTGTATTTGATTTTATATTTTATTATTTTATATTTTATTTTGAAGTGAGATCTGAACGGTTTCTTGAGATTTGAAATTTATGCTCTAATTCATATACATATTATGTTTAATTATGAATATAGTTAGGAAGAGCATTTTTGTTAATAATTAGTAGGAACTTTATTCGCTCCCGAGCAATAAAAGCTATTTGCAAAGGCAAATCAGCTACAGATTTAGAATATTGTTCCTCAACGCCCCCTTCATGACTAAATTAATTTACTGCCGCGAGAAATGGAGAAATATTATTTGAATAATTGCATTCCTAACTTAGCTCAATGAGACGTACACAGATAGTGAAGCTATTCTTATGTCGAAAAACAAAACAAGGGGCATCTCAGTATTTGCTCAAAGGATCAACGAACTGGTGAACGAAAAATCTGATCGAGATGGATATTCAACAGTGTTCAGCGACCAATTCACACGTCAAAATCGGCACCAGCTTCT